CGAGGACGCTCAAGGGCTTTGCCCAGACGCGGCCGGGTATGTCATCGGGGCCCGGAGCTGTGTTTCGGGCCGCCATGCGTGCAATACCCGCCGCAAGTTCCTCCTCCGTGACCCCCATGCCGTCAGACCAGATAATCGGGTCCGACGAGGCAGGAGGCGGTGGCTCCTCATCCCTGGGAAACAGGGTATCCACCACCTCCGCCAAGAATTTAAAAATCTAAACTCTCCGTAAGTGGGGACGCCCATGGTCGAAGCTTACCCATGACCATTTTATATGGGCGTCCCCACGCATCCTTCTTCAAGGAGAGGAGGAACTCGTTATACGCCTGGGATTTGGCCTCCCTGATGGCTGCTTGAAGGAACACCGCAAGCGTGCAATACGTCCCGTACAGGATCTCGTCCCTCCCCGCATCGCGTTGCCGCCTTCGGCAGGAGCGCTGGTACTGGCAACGGGCGTGATAGCACTCTCTACGCATTTGCGCAATTTCGCCCATCTACCAGTATGCAGCCCGCCGGCGGAAGCCGCCAACCCGGGGCATGGAAACGTCACAGATCGCTGTTAACGCACCCCGGAACCAGTCGGCCTCCTTTTCCACATCGGCAACCGGCTCAGCTGGAAATTCCGGCCAGGCCGCGGCGAGGGACGCAACCATCAGGGCGTCCTCGTCTAAACGCTAAGCGCCCATCTCTGCGGTGGTGCGGCTCTTAGGCGGCGACAGGTGGCGGAGATATCCATTCGGATATAGAGATGGTCACTTAAAGTTTCCACCTCCTTCGCCACCCTCCAACCGGACACGCGCTGCGCCGTAGAGGGCGTCGCGCATGAAAGGTCAACGATGGACTCTCCCTGCGGACGCACGCACATGCTCACGGTACCCCGGTTCAACAGCCGGAAACCGTTCGCCGCCGCCCAATCGAGCACCGCCTCACCCCTCGCGTCGGTGCGGGGAGACCCCCAGGCTTCAGCCTTGGAGTTGAAGTCTCGCAGCACCAGGAGCGGACGGGGAAGACTGCGCGCAATACACGCTGGCAACCAGTCCAAAAACTCCTCAAATCTTGCGAGGGTCCAGCTGGGCGGTGCATAAATTCCCACCACCGCGGTTCCGTCCCAATTCACAGCCACGAATCCTCGGCTGCGAGTGATCAATTTGCAGACCGAGGATCCGGACAAGGTGGACCACGCGACTGCCACGGAGCCCACATCGTCCCCAAACCAGTGCGGATGTTCGGGGACTTTATAAGGCTCCGCGGCCACGGCCAACCCTACCTGCCACTCGGCCAGGGTATGGACGAAAAGGTCCTGAGCCCTAGCCGAGTGGTTCAGGTTAGCCTGGAGGAGACAGCCCTTAGGGGGCATTATTTCTCGATTTCCATTGCCCCCTCCAAGGCTTCTCCTCCCTGGCCACTTGCAGGCACATCTGCGACTGCCGAAGGGGCAGAAAACTTTGCCGGTTCAACTACAGCTGCCTGCTCCTTGCGAAGCTGCCTACCTCTGCGGCGGGAAGATTGAGCGCAAGATTTGGCACCCAGTCTATGTCCTGCCGGCCTCCCTAAATCCGAACACAATGGACAACGAGGGGCCGCTGTGCACTGTCCCGCACAGTGACCGGTCTCACGACACCTGTAACACCGGTTTGACCTGTCGTCGTGTCCAGTGCACCGCTGCCTGACATGACCAGCATCTAGGCAGCGGTAACACTAAAGTGGCCTTGTCGGCAGGGCTTCCACCCTAACCGACAGCCAACCAACTCGAATCCTCCTTGCGGCTACAATCTTATTTAACGCCGCAAGGGGGCAACGAACCCAAACAGTCCCCAACCCAGAGGGGGACAACTTTACCTGTCCGGATGTCTCCCGTGCCGCAGCCAGTAGCTGCAACAATTGCGTCCACCACTTCTTTCGTGGTGACGGATGCATCCAAGCCAACAATACGGCATTCGCCGCACTTCATTCACCTGGCAACCTGGACATCCGGCCCCTCGAAGAGCGTCCTGAGACGGCAGGCCAAGTTATCAGCCTTGACCGAGCCACCTTCCCCAGGTATCTCTAAAATCATGCCGCCCGTTAAAGCTTGCCTATAACGGACGACATCGATCCCAATTTCCGCCAACTTAATTTTCTCCTGGGCCTCCTTCGTCACATCCACGTATGATTTGGATCCGCCCGGTGCCTTGTGATGGACACCGCGGCGGTCCAGCGGTCCTAGGAGGACGAGGAGGCCGCTTGGGAGCCTGCTGCTTCTGCCTCTGGGTAACTGGCGGTGCTTTAACAGCCACCGATCTTCTCTGTGGGACTGGAACAGGTGCAGCAGCCTTTTTCGCTGCCCTTTTTGCCCTACGTCCAACCACCGT